TAGATGTGTATAAGAGACAGCCCCCCCCCCTCCCCCAGAACCACCTCGCCGCACAGTTGATGTCCACAGGCACATAAAGGCCTTGAGGTCTTGACGTCTAGGAACTTTTCGAGCTATGGTATATCTATCACGGAGACGACGCTTCCTACTGATACCGACAGCGATGCCAGCAAGGAAGAAACAAAAAACGACTCTGACAACGATATCGACAACCATGCTTGTTGTTTGTACATTTGTGTTGGCGTGGAGGGATGTTTCTCTAGTCTGCGAATAACGCGCGCCGCGAGCGGCGGCGTGCGTTGTGGCCGATATTACGTCGACTCTCTGCGGTTGGCTTTGTATTCTGCCACATCCACACTATCTCGAACATACTTGATCTGCTAGTGCTCGATTTCCGAACTCGTTTCACGCTCTTGAAGTGAGACCTTACGCATGAAAATCAAACAAGACGCGTATCGACACTCACCATGACGTCTTGTATCTCGAGCAGATCACGAACGCCCGATCAATGTCGACACCAAACGTTTTCTTCGTGATCCACGACGAGCGGGCGGTATTGCTAAAAACGACATTTCGACCGTTACACGACGATGTTGACGACGAAGCTGGCGGTGCTGGCCATGGTGACGACTTCTCGACTAACCCCAACTACGCCTAAACATCACGATGATGTTCACGAGGAAGGTGGTCACGATGACGGCGACGTCTCGACTAAAAAAAACTACCACAAACCTTATCCCTCGACCCCAATGAAACCTTTTTGTCGCAACAGGTCCGGACGGAATGTCTCTTGGTGGAAGGGTGCGACGACCGCATCACCGTGCCCTACGAGGCCGGCAGGGTCACCAACAAGTACCACTGCTCGCCGGTGCCTACTCCGGAGGTGGTCAGTCGCTCCTCCTGCACGAGTAGCTCGTCCAGCCGGTACGTACGCGCATGCATGCATGCATGCATGCGGCTTTGTCGGTGGCTTGAAAAGCTTGTATGTACGGACGGTGCGATTCGTGCTTCCTCCCTGCGCACCTCGATATGGGTTTGCCGCAATCATCACGAATATCGTCTACTCCCGTCGTCCCGTTTATGGGATAACTCGGGAGTTTTACCGAAAGTGCGCAACAACAAGCGGGTACAAGCTGGCCGGTCGTCGCGTGTTGGAGAGGGGGGGGGGGGGGGGGGGGG